CATTAAAAAATTGACTTGGCTCCGCAACACTAGGAATTGAAGCGCGTCAGTACAACGTTAAGCTCTCGGGAAAAATACTTATTTGAACTGCCGTAGTGCTATCTACTTGGACATCACAATGCTCCAGTTAACCATACAACGCCTCGACGCTACACATTTGAGTGCTGTGGTGTCAGGTTCAAAAGTCAAAATCCAACTATGATGGTTCAAAAGTAATTGTAACATGATAACTTTTCCATTATGACTTTGGTGAGCGTCGCCGCAACATCATTAGTTCAAAATCATTATTGTTTCAGTTATGGTGCCGCGACATTAATCTTTTAAATGCCGCAACGCTTTTATGTGTCAACGCCACAACGGATTCCCATGCATAAAGTGACTCTTCGGTTTCAAAAACCAAGTGTCGTTGTGCCACGTGTCCCCTCCCATTGTAGCGTCTGTCAGTTTGACCCATCTGTCGTTTTGTGTGTTTTTAGTGTTGCAGCGCTGATCCCCACAGTGCCATAGGGCTTGTCGCGTTTATAACTAAGAATCCATTGTTTTCACTCATTTCATTGTTCCCTCTAGAACTCTCTTACTCTTACGTGTTCTTAGCTTCATTCCTTTTTGTGCAATGGCCCCCAAAATGTCTGATAAGAAGTGATCCCCTTCATCTTATGACAAGTATAGGTTCATTTCTGTCGAAGCTGAGGGAAGGTTTGCTGAGTTTGTATCACTAAACAATTTATCCCAGAGAGTGATTTTCAAAGCCCTAGTCTTCCAGCCATGTAGACTATAGTGAGTAGGGGTTGGGAGCATTTCTGTGAGGAATCTCATGCTGCAATTGCTAACATTGTAAGGGAGTTTTTCACCAATGCAAAAGAGGTTGTAGATAATAAATGTTATGTGAGAGGTAAATGGGTGTCCTTTAATTTTGTTGCCATTAACCGCCTGTGCAAGTTGAAAGATTTTGAGTATGACAAGTACAATGCTTTTTTGGGACTTCTATTGACCCGGAAGAAATTTTAAGAGTTTTGTATGGTCCTAATAGTGGTGTTACATGAAAGAAAAGGGATAATAAAGTCATAACTTTCCTGCCACCTTTCTTAGTCAATCTTCTAAAGCCTGACATTATTTCATTTCTACCTGCCTTTTATCCAACAAGAACATTAGCAAAGTCACACGAGAACATGCCATTATCAACTATGCCATTTAGGTTGGGTATTCTATTGATGTAGAGAAATTAATTTATTCTTCTTTAACCTATATCATTAGGGGCACTACTTTAGTTGGTTTGGGGATCCCCTCTCTTGTTTATGTCTAATGTGTTAATGCTGGTGTTAGGGGAGATTAGTTTGAGGATTAACTTTTTCCCATCTCTTCTTTAACTAAAAGAAAAATATTGAGTTTTAAACAAGCAAGGGGAGGTGATGATGATGGAGAGCTTAGTGAGCCTAAATCTTCTGGAAGGGCTAGCAATAGGAGTCCTTGGACTCCTAAAATTGTAGGAGAGCAGGTGGCAGATCTAAGAACTCAAATGGGAGGGAGTTCTAGATTTTTGTGAGGAAGCTAAAGACTGACAGTTTGAAATGAGAATGAGTATGACCCACACTATGGATCAGCAGGAGAGGAATTATAGGTATACATCTGATTTCAATGATGCTCTTGTAGGGATGTTCATGAGCAGTTCATTTGTGGAACACTCAGATCAACTTCAATTTCCTTTTGCCCCTGTTTATGAGCTCTTTGTTTGGCAACCTTGCGGGAAAGTTAATAATGATGATGAGGATCTAGACTCTGGTGCTTAGGAGTCTTTATATTTCTTGGCTGAGGGAGAGAGAGTGATGAGAGAGTTGGTTATTGTTGCTACTATGTTGTAGCATAGTTTTCTTTATTTTCTTTTTTTCATTTCTTTGCTTTGGGGGAGTTCCTAGATTTTGTGATGACTTTTTCTTGTGATTCTTTTTTGTGATGATGTTAATGATGGCCATGAGAGCCATAGTGATTGAGGTTAGGGGAATGATGCCTAGGACACTAGTTATCTTTTATTACTGGTAGTTTATTGTATTATTGCCTTTGAGATTTTCAGTGTGTTTGTTTATTGTTGTTCCATTTTATTAAATTTTCTTATGTTTAATCTGTTGCATATTATTCTCTACAATTATTGCACTTGATTTCCTATTTAGCTAAAATAAAAATTAGAACTACAAATTTTGTAAACTTAGGATAATTATAAAACTCTTGATTATAGTTTGAATGAACATTGTATAATAATTCCTACTTTGAAAAACCTAACAATTAATTAATCTAAATCATTTAAACTATTGACTTAATTTTGAATTTAGAAACTACACATTAACTTATATTAACAACTAAATTGAAAATGAATAAATAAGTTTAAAGATTAGTTATGAATAGCTTAAATTAGGGAAATCATAAGTTGAATCAGAAACTCTAACTAGTGATTTTATTGAATCCTTATGTTAATTTAATAGAATTGCAAGAGAAGAAAAACAAAAATTGATATTCAAAATCATTAAACATGTACTTCACAAAATATGAAAGAAAAGAAATATTGAAAAAAAAAAAGAAAATGAAAATGGTTCAAAATAAAAAAAGTTAAGTACATTAAAAAATTGATATCATTAGCTTACTTTCAATTGCATTCTATTATTTAACTAAAAAGGGATACAATAAGTTATCAGGTACTTGTGATAGTGTACTCATTAAATCCCCTATTTAAACTATGAGAAACTAATCCATATACTACTTTATTCATTATATATTCAGAATTTATTTTTATATTTTTAAAGATAGTGAATAAACTCAAAATAAGCAATAACAATGATGACTGATTGGGAGAAACGTTGTCTTTTTAAATTTGAATTATAACTTATTCATTACAAATTACTTCTAAACAATGCTGTATTATCTTATATTTTAGTAATTTTAAATTATCAATTTTTACTTTGGCTATTGAGGTGATCAAGGAGTGAATGTAAGTTTTACTTGAGGACAAACAGGAGTTTAAGTTGGGGGAATTTGATAGGTGTAAATTATGTATTGTTTTATGCATGTTAAATTCAATAAAATTATGTTATTTTAGTTGTATTTGTTCAGGAATTGTTTAGGAAAAAAATAAAAATGACAACTGTTGGACAGCGGCGCGGCACCGTATCGATCAACATCGAAGCGTCGATTTCAACGTGGTGGCGCCGACATCTGTTTGCAAGCGCTGCAGCGTCACAAATGTTAGCGCCGCAGCACATCACAACGCCGTTGCACCCAAAATCGGAGTTGCAACATATGGTGTCTCGAGAAAATTCACGCTGCAACGTAGGAGCACTAACCTTCGAACGTTGCGGTGTTAAGATGTCGTTCCAAGCGCTGCAACACTCATAGTTATGGCGCTGCGGCAAAGCAGTTATAACTTCTGAGAGCAGTGCCAACTTGACTAGAAGACGCACCAATTCGGGCCATAATCGTGCCACGTCAACTAGAGCCGCAGTGGAAGCAACGTTGCAGCCTCGGGGCACTTGTTCTTTTTTTTACCACTGTAGCTCCACTTTGTCTAGTGCCACGGCACTCGAGTCTGATTATGTACTTACTACAAATAGATGTCAGTTCTACTGTTTGTAGAGTTCAGTCATCTGAGTGAAAATGTAGTATTTTTCAGTGAATTTTTCTAGTGCCCAGAAAACTTTCCATTGAAATTAATGCCTAAACTAAGAAATCAAGCCATCTTGACAAAGTTAATAGAAAGGTTCGAGAGATTTTTGAGACTATCACAAATATTAATCAGTTATTGACTAGGCTTGAAGTCAAATTTGAGTAACACTGAACTCTTATACCCTAGCTTGTCAAAATAGAACCCCACAACTCTGCCCCATAGCCCGCCCAATTTCAAGCATCTGATCATGGATTTTTAGCTTTTAGACAAATGTTGGGCATTCTGCGGTGCATTCTAATCCTTAACAAGTGGAACATCTTTTTGAACTACTGACATCAATGCACCCTCCCAGTGGTCCAATCCACATTCACCAAAACCTGCTTGAGCTCCTTGCTTGATTCAATTGGCAATCCTTGCATCCTCTCCTGGTCTAATACTTGAGTTTATATTGCTTTCTATTTTTATAATAGATATAGACCTGTCAAGACAACTTCAATCACATTACAATAATTTCTGGGCACAAAGGAACAATTAGAAGACAGGTTACTGCCTCAAATGCCACCTGTGAATCATTGATTGAAAGTGTGGCTTGGTGGGTGCCCACCTCATGCAATTTCGCTAATGTTTGCGCCTAGCCGCCTACATGCCATAACTACAATATTCTACACGGGTTCCATGCTTGGATCCTTATAGTCTTGTGTGACTTCTTTTTATTCATGGTGACCTTCTGGGCAATGTGGGTTTTTATGGGGTAGATGATGATACCTTCAATATATGCACTTGGTAGTAAATTGAGTCAATATATTGAGTAATAATTGCTTAAAATGTAATTGCAAAGGGTTATCTGACTTAGTACTTAATGATAGAGTTGTTTATGTTTGAGTCAATAGGTTAATGTTAGGATGGGCTATGTTATTGTTTTGTCAGATTGAGCTTTGTATCTTTATATATACCTTTCTTTTAGAGTGTATTTCGATATGCAAGATGAATCCCTTGCCTGAGATCTTCTTCATCCTTCAAATTTTCTCATTCATACATTTTTTGAAGTTTCCAGCGAGCTCAAAAAGGGTCGTATCATAGCGCTTCCTAAACATTCTCAAAATGCAAAGTTTCTAGCAGTTTCCTTCATGGAACTCTCTCCTCTCCATAAAATAGTTCGAATATCATAGAAATGGGAGCTACAACCCTTCCACGTAGCTGACTATATTTTATTCTTGTTCAGTAGGCAATTTTTCATGTTAACCCACAGGCAGTACATGTGGTAGTGTGTTTTCCATTCACTAACTTGTAATGCTCTTCTTATTTTGTCCCATAATTTTGATTGTTCTCATTATCTACCTTCTTGCTACAGAAATGGGTGTCAAAGAACGCAAAGGAATGGTCTTGCCCTTTCAACCCCTTACCATGTGCTTTAGCGATATAAATTATTTTGTGGACGTACCTGTGGTAGGTCCAAGTCTCTATATCTCTTATGGATCTGAATTAGAAAATCTATTTAAAAGGTCTTCATTCTTATACAGTATTGCTAGCAGGAACTGAAACAAGAAGGAATTTTGGAGGATCGATTACAGTTGCTGGTTAATGTAACTGGAGCTTTCAGGCCGGGAGTACTTACAGCACTTGTTGGAGTGAGTGGTGCTGGTAAAACCACCCTCATGGATGTTTTAGCTGGGAGGAAAACTGGAGGACTCATTGAAGGAAATATAACCATCTCCGGATATCCTAAAAATCAAAAAACTTTTGCGAGAGTCTCTGGCTATTGTGAACAAAATGATGTTCATTCTCCTTGCATGACTATTGTAGAGTCACTTTTATTCTCGGCATGGCTGCGGTTAGCTTCACATATTGACCAAGAGACTAAAAAAGTAAAACTTCAAACTTACCATGTGCTTTGCTTTTACAGATTTGAGGTTTAAATTTAAATCACAAAAATGGTTTTATACAGCTCTTTGTGGAAGAAATTATGGAACTGGTGGAGCTTAACACATTAAGAGGTGCTCTGGTTGGTTTACCGGGTATTAATGGTTTGTCAATTGAACAACGGAAGCGGTTAACAATTGCAGTAGAACTAGTTGCAAATCCTTCTATTGTCTTCATGGATGAGCCAACATCAGGATTGGATGCCAGGTCTGCTGCAATTGTGATGAGAACTGTTAGGAATATTGTAAATACTGGACGGACAATTGTATGCACAATTCATCAGCCGAGCATAGATATTTTCGAGTCTTTTGATGAGGTTTTCATCTTTCCTTTCGTTCATAAATCATAAGTGATAGTTTATTGCACATTTCTGCTTTTTCTTAAGTTGTCATTTAAATGTTCCTTTTTGCATTAATACAGTTACAAAATTTTAGTTCCCTACTGCTTATGTATTCCATTGCTGTATGCTCAGGTGTTGCATTGCTCTATCTTGCTACTGAAATAATTATGAATCTATAAACATGTGATAAAATATGCATATTTTACAATTGTCATAATTTAGTTGTTACTTTGTCTTTATTTCATAGCTTTTGTTCATGAAACGTGGAGGGGAACTTATATATGCTGGTCCACTTGGCCCTGATTCTCGTAAGCTAGTTGAATTCTTTGAAGTAAGTTTTTCAAGTTTCATTATGTTTTTAATTTTAAATGTGCAAATTATCTCCTTCATTCAATAAAAAATTTGCGGACACAAGTGCTGCTTTTGTGTTGCTCATGAGTTGTGGTCCTTGTCTAGGCAATACCTGAGCTTCCCAAAATCAAGGATGGTGAAAATCCTGCAGCTTGGATGCTTGAAGTAACAAGCCCTCTGATGGAAAATCATCTTGGTGTGAACTTTGCAGACTATTATCGAAGATCTAAACTATTCCAGTATGTGTGGTCATTTCGAAGATCGTGATTTAGTTTATGCTTTTATTTTATCTAAACCTATTAGACTTTCAGACAAAACAAAGAGTTGGTGGAAAATCTTAGCAAGCCTGAAGATGGTACAAAAGAGTTGAACTTTCCAACCAATTATTCACAGCCATTTATTTCCCAGTATCTTGCCTGTCTATGGAAGCAGAATTTGTCGTATTGGAGAAATCCACAATATACTGCAGTCCGTTTCTTCTACACTACCATCATCTCTATAATGTTTGGTACAATCTGTTGGGGTTTTGGTTCAAAAAGGTATATACATGGCCTCTTATCATGTTCATACTGCTAACTGTCTGTGAATTCTATTTCTCATTTAGACTATAGGTGTAAGTAAACGTATCCTATCTGATTCAATTTAGTTAAAAACGAATATCACGTTTTTATTTTCTTTTGGGTATACCTAACAAATGATCTTCGTTAACTGTAGGGGAACTCAGCAAGATATCTTCAATGCTATGGGATCTATGTATGCTGCTGTACTGTTCGTCGGAATCACCAATGCGACTGCTGTTCAACCTGTGGTATCCATTGAAAGGTTCGTGTCATACCGAGAAAGAGCGGCTGGAATGTATGCAGCATTATCATTTGCATTTGCCCAGGTTGACCCATTTCATAATATTAAAATTGCTTGCCAATCTTCATATGAGCTAATGGTGAACTTTGTTGTGGACAGGTTTCCATTGAGTTTCCTTATGTTCTTGTACAGACACTTATCTATGGTACCATATTTTATAGCATGGCCTCATTTGAATGGACAGTGCAGAAGTTTTTGTGGTATACATTCTTTATGTATTTCACTTTGCTGTACTTCACATTTTTTGGCATGATGACAATTGCAATCACACCTAGTCATCTAGTGGCACCAATCATTGCTGCACCATTCTATACTCTGTGGAATCTCTTCAGTGGATTCATGATTACACGGAAGGTAAGAAGCCTATAACCTCACTTTTATGTATTCTTTTATGCTTAAGCAAGCTCTCTTGTAGGGTCACTCAAATTTCCTTCAAGAAAAGAAAAAAAAAATTTCTTGGAAGATTTTAGAAATGCTTATTGCATTGTCTTCGCAAAAAAGTAAAAAAGAGTTTTCCTAGAAAAATAAATGTGATGAAATAGTCTTATTATTATTATTATTTTTAAGAAAGAAAGTCTTTATGCTTGCTTGCCAATAAATTTCTTATGGTTCAGTAATAAGTATTGGGTTTCCCATTTGTTAGATGTAAATGCCAGGGCCCAAATTATATATATATATATATAAAGATAATTGAAATTACTAACTGCTAAAATAAAACTACCCAAACCAAAAAAGAAATATAAATAGCCTATCAAATAAGATTAAAATATCAAATGCTATCCTACTATTGATAAATCTTCTCTTGTGGTGGCAGTCTACTAAGTACTCTAGTAGAATTACATTTCAGGAGTCTAAGGAATGGCCCAATGGGAGATGATCCCTTTTAGCCTAGGCAAGGAGATCATTAGCCTTAAATTTTCTAAGCAATATATGAACAACCCCCACGGCTCTATATATGATTCGAGCTGAGTAATGCTTATGAAGGGTTAAGATTACCTCAACTCTATATATGATCCGAGTTGATTAATGCCCATGAATCAGTATAATTAGCTTAGACATTAGACATAGTAGAATAACTCAAGTAAATTCTAAAACATCTTTGAACTTATTTAGTAATATTCAAATTAGCTTCTATGTAATTTTTTAGCCTTATTTTAATTTATTTGAATGTTATTCAAACTCTTGATCAAACTATGTTCGACGTTTGATCAATCAAGTTCTCTTCAAAGAGGGTTAGATATAATTTCGATCAAGAGTTCGAATAAGTTCAAACCAGGCAAAAATGCATTCGTAATTTTCAAAAATGATTTAATAAATTTCGCTCATGTTTTAAAGATTGTTAATATTATTTGATGGTGATTTAGCCATTTGTCTAATGGAAAATGTGGCTAGAAGATGACTTTAAAATGACAACTAGCTTGTATATTGAAGCTAACAACCAATGGGTTTAGGTTTTAGAGTGTGAAGCTTGTTTCAACCTTAAAAAATCGAAAAACATCACTAAACCTTCGAATATGGTAAGTTGGGAGAGACCAATGCTATGCATTTCAGCCCAAAGATGCATGTTTTGAATTCATTGAAAATAGAGAAGGAACAAATGCATGGTCTCATAACAATGCTCGGTGAGGGTTCCTCCCATTTGTTCAAAAGGAGAGGTATTTTGGTTCGAATGGAACTTTACTTGGGTCAATGCAAGTTTGATCTTGGGCTAGGCTTCGCTTGTTAATCTGCTTATTGATTTTAATTTGAAATAAAATTAAATTCAATCTAATCATTTTGCGATATTTTCTCATGTCAAATTCATTGCCCCACCTGGGCCTCAAGTAGCCCTTGCACAATAATATATGAACACTTATAAAGGCAAGCTTAAACCGGTGTGTAAGTGCTAAAACTAGTATATTAGGGATCAACACTTGAACCCACTTTCTTTTATAGATTTAAATGAGAATTTGACTTTTAATAGGACATAATGACGAAAAAGGATTCATGTAGGCTTCGTTTGTGATGAATTTCTTACTGCTTCATGAAGCAGCTTTTTAGTACAAAAATTATAACTTTTGTACTAAAAAGCAGCTTTAAGAAGTAGTTAGAAAGCCGTACCAAACGAAACATTAGCCGACCCCACGTAGTGGGACAAAGGCTTGATATTGTTGTTATTGTTGTTGCTGCTCTTTGTTTGCGATAACATATTATAATTGGTGTTTCTTTCATAAAATTTGGATGGTTTTCACAGAGGATACCTGGATGGTGGAGATGGTATTACTGGGCTAATCCAGTATCATGGAGCTTATATGGCCTACTTACTTCACAGTTTGGGGACATCGAGGAACCAATGAAGCTTGCAGATGGAGTTCGCTCAATAAGCGTGAAAGTTTTTCTTGAAAGCTATTTTGGTTTCAGGAGTGACTTGTTAAGCACTGCGGGGATCATGGTTGTCAGTTTCTGTGTCATCTTTGCACTTGTGTTTTCCGTGGCAATCAAATGCCTAAACTTCCAAAGAAGATGAAGGCCTTGGAAACCTGGTTTTCTTAATAATAAGTTCCGATGGCAAAAAAGATGGATAGAATACTATACATAATAATATTTCATTGTAAGTCTGATGACAATTTTAAGCAACTTCCATCTCTCTCTGTTCCCATCTATACAATTAGTTTTCTTCCCTTCTCATTTTCAATTTTAGAAAAAATCCTGCGGAACAGTGAGCTATATTCCATTTGTCTTCTGTTTTCTGTATCATAGTATTCATGTCTGTCATCTTTTTAGCTTTTGAAGATTTGCATGAATAATTGATAGCTTGTGTGTTATTTTCTCAACCAAAAAAAAAAAAAATACTGAAGTTCCTCATTTGCATCACTTCTTCATAGCCATAGCATTTATAGAGTCCTTGGTTCTACTAGCATTATGGAATTTCCTCCCTTTGATGTAGAACTGGTGAAATTATTCTGTGCGGATGTTGAATGTCGTCCGGAGATCTATCATAATGTGCCACATCACCCTATACTCGGTACCGTTGATGTGGTGCATTCTGATTAGTCTCTGGATGATGTTTTGCGTCCGGTCCCCGCTCAGAATAATCTCTTGTAGAACTGGTCTGTCTCTTGAGTGAATTCAATCAAATCATAAAATGGGCACCTTAGTTGTTTGAATATAGGCTCTACCTGTTCTCTGTCTAATACCCCAGTTACCACGGTGAGTGGTGGGAGCCTGACAGATTGGAAGAGCCATACGTAATCCACCCCTCTAAGTGATCACAGCACTTGAAAAAAAAAAATAAAAAAAATTTCTGTCGATATTTGATGTTTTCTTACGCATCTTCTGGCCTAAATAAAATTATGTATGTGTATTCGAAGTTGCTTCCATGGCTCAGTTTGTCTTTAGCTTGTTAAAAAAAATTAATGAAAATTTAGAGCCAAATACAGTTTCAATGTACTTTTAGGTTCTATGTTGTGCTATAATATGCCTTGTAGATAGCTGCAAAATCAAACTAAGGTTTCGTTTGTGGTGGTTTTTTTATTGCTTCATAAAGCAACTTTACAATACAAAAATTAAAATTTTTGTATTAGAAAGCTGCTTCAAGAAGCAGTAAGAAAACTGTTCCAAACAAAGTCTAAAGCTGGTATCTAATGTGTTGTGAGAGTTGTAATGGTTTGGCAAGAATTTGTTGGGCATTGATATGGGTTGCTAGAATGTTCATGAATAAATTATTAATAGCATATAATTATAATATTATATCTTAATTTGTTTATAATTAAATAAACTAATTATTTTATGTTTGGAAAAAGAATGAAAGAGAGCTCCAACTGAACATTTAAACATAACTTACCACAAAACCTCACCAATTAAAGAAGATAGAGGCCTTAGTCAGCCATGAAACAAAACATTTCGATAGCCAGCCAAGTGTCAAAGTTCAGTATAATCTCCTCTTATAGTAGCTAACAAGCTCACCACTCAACCTTTCTCTTTGAATGTTATACACTTAGCAGAAGATTTTGCTGTGAAGGATTTGGCCAAGATAATGTGAAAGTAGTTGAGAAATAGAAACATTAGAAATTATCCTATAAATTGTGCAGAAGAAATAAAGGAGGATTAGATGGAGAGGGGAAGATGATGTGGAGCACGAGAAATTATTATGTGTGGAGATTGGACAGAGAACCGTCCGGTTTGTCTCTATGAATACTAAAAACGTAGTGGACTATGTTTTTACTGTTGACAACTGCGTTTTTACTGTTCATAGAAATACAATCGAAGCATTATCTATGTTCGATCTCCATACGTAATAATCTCTCGTATATGATCAAATAATCATAATAAACTTTTCTCATGTACTTAAGGATTTTTGAAAAGGAAGGGGGTGGTGCCACGGACAATGTAATTATTACCTTTCTTAAAACAAGATGAGTATGTGGGGTCGTCATGTGTTGATGTGTATTCTTCCACCAAGAGTTTAAGACATATGCTGGAATTCAAGAAATTTCAGGTAATATGTTTAGGGAAGTGATGCCAACATCTCCTTTCAATAAATTCCTCATAAGTTCAATGGAAGGTAGATGATTTATTTTTGCCTTTTGAATAATGTTAATGTTAGTATTATTTCAAAATGTTGAAACAAGCTACTCCACATATGTGAACAAAAAATATATAGTAATAATATTTCTTAGTGATTTCATGATGAGCTATATGGATTGAGTTTAGCTTTGAGTTAAAATTTTCTTGTAAGAGCAAGCACCTATGGTTAATTATATTATAAGACTTAATTCTTGAAAAAAGAAAAACTAAATTAAATTAATGTATAGTATTTTGGATATCAAAGATGGTTTTCAATGATGGAAGTCTGAGAACCCCCACGTAGATAGGCTCAAATTATAGTAGGGATAGTAATTAGAGTCCCGGAGAAATCATAAAATCAAGTGACAATGATAAAACAAGAATGCTCCAAAAACTATTATATGTTGGGCTTGTTAATATGTTAGTGAGATGATTACTTTAAGTCTAATTTGATCTAACTACTAGGAATTCAAACTTAAGATTCGATGATAATAATGTCTCCATGATTAATTAGAGAATTTATAAGATAAAGATTTTTGAAATAATTATTAAGGGATGTTAGTCTCAAATCTAGATTTATGCGGGGACCTATCATATTGTAAGAATATATACATCTACCTTATCTGATGCAATTGTAGGTTGTCATAGTGAGAAATATATAGCTTAAATTTAGTGATACAATGGTATACCGGTCCTCTTTAAACGTATAATCCTACATGAAAAAAAAAAACTAATTAAAATCACCTATTCATTTTTATGTCCATGCCATCGAGGTCTAAATACAAGATTAGGTTGGCTCTTATTATTCAAGAAATGAGACTTCTAACTCTGTCACTAAAGTTAGCTTAATTCAAGTGGGGCTTTAAATGCATGGGGCCAATGCAATTCTTCCTTTTATTTATTTGACATAATATTAGAAGACATTTTATCCAACATGAGATCATGAAGACGTTTGAATCAACTCAATTTAGTCAAATGGTTCAATTGGTTCAGATCGACCCAATTTAAACATTTAGGCTAAATTGATCAAATACCTTTGAATAGAGCCTTCTATTTGAACTAAGTTTACCATGCACCAATTGAACATGGTTGACTTTTAATTGAGTTAATCAAACATAATTGACATTACTTAGCTGAATTAAAAATCTTATGAAACCTACTTAGCTCTTTTTAGCTAAAATTGTCAATTTGATCAAATTGGCTTGATCAAACCATTCAATTGAGTTTAATATATCTTAATAGAGCCCAATTAAGACTCAATTAACCCTAGAATTCAAGTTAACTCAATAAAAACTTATATAACCCATTTGAAGCATTGAGCCAAATTGAAAAAATAAAGTCAATTGCTTAAACTAAAACCCTCAAATTGAATCCAATTGATCCAACACACTTTAATTGGGCCAATTGATCCATTGGTTTTTCTTAGATTAGGATAGACCCCAAAGTAACAAAAATGGGCCAAAGTTGGCCAATTTGTATGTTTAGTCTTAGCCAAGCCAAATTGGTTAACCTAAATTTGTTCAATTACTATCTTAGATACTAATTAAACCTAATCAATATGCTTGGCTCAATCCTGAACCATTAAACTTAGGTTAACTCAACTAAATTATGACTATTGATAAATTAGTAGGGATTAAGCAAACCAATCGATTAGAAAGCAATAAAAAAGCCGTCCCAAACTAAGCCTTAGTTGGGGGATGATAATGGAGGCTAGTTTGATCATCGCTCAATCATTCACAATAAGCTATATTAGGTATCTAACCAAATAAAGGCCCTACACAATTTATTCAGGTCAATTAATATGATTTTTTTTCACAAAATTTGCCTAAAGTGATCCATTGATCTCAATTGCAATCTTTTTTTTTTTAATAAATTTTTATTTGTACAAAAAACAAGGAAAAATAATTCCCTTAAAAATATTCAAAATTTTAATTAAGAAAATCAAATACTTATATATATTTATTTAAAAATTTTATATTGAGTTATGAAATATATTGAAGTGTTTTTTAAGTCACTATGAGCATTGCTTTTAAAATTTTCCTATCAAATTTATTTTTTATTTTGTGTAAATAGATTTTTATTTTTTAAAAATCTTAGCATGCACTCAACATATTTTTAATGATTCTCTAAATTCATTTGTCCTTTTTTCATAAATAATATAATATTTGTATTAATTATAAAAATATTAAATAATATTTAAAAAAAATGTGAAAATATATTAAGAACTTTCTTAATATCAAATGTAAGCATATTATTTTAATTCATATGCAATTGAGTTTTAAGTCATAGCATTTTAAAAGCACTATAAATAAAAAGGGATATGGACGACTTTAATGAATGATATTATTTGCCTATTTGGGACGGCTTTATCATACAATGCTGGAATGAAAATTTTTAGAAGTTTTTGAGAGTGGCTCACACCCCTTTGGTAGAAGTTAATGAATGACATTGCATGAGATATTTTTGTCCTATATTGTGCAAATGAGGATCAGAAGTTTCTAACTGTCTCATTCTAACTCTACCATAGTTGATGTCATTAGAAAGCTTGATCAAGACATTTGACTGATCCAAAAGAGTAACATAGAACTCACCCGATAATTTGAGGTTGAAAAAAACCTCCGTATCGAGTCCAAAGCCGGCCGCCGCAGCGGAAATTTACCCACTAAAGCGAAATCGAAAGGTTTAGCAAGATGTAGGACTTCATCCTCTAAGATCCACAAAGCCGGCATACCTCTAATCGTAGAAACTTGAAGATCCAGAAAAGCCTTAGAGGCATCAGAGCCAGACAAAACCTCCTTGAAGGATTTGCTACCCTCATGAAAACCAGGATCTAGCTGTTTATTCGCCATAAGAAGGACGGAGAAGACCGTGAGAGGCGAAGACAGCTAGGGCAAAAGCCCTAGCAGAGCGACTCTTCCCAAAACGAGAACATGAAAAGCTGAGGTTATTTTTTAACTTGCTAGAGAAAAATAATGCGGCAATTTATATTATATATATATATATTCTTAAGTGGCAGAAATCTAAGATGGTTATGATCATAAGGGCCAACTTTGATATAGAAGAAAGCTAAGGGAGGATTGATTAGGGTTACATGTATGACTTTTGAAGGCCGTTTTAAGGACATCAGCTCATACCCATATACTTTATAAAGTTCTTGACGGAAACCACTTAACAAGGTAAGAAGATTGCACAATTGATATTAAAATTGTCGTAATAACAA